TATATCACAACTCTGGATGGAATATATGACTTCGTTTACTTATCTTCTGACAGTAACGTATTTTTGTATGTACCGGTTTTATTATCTCTGTTATATAAACAAGTGGCCAAAAAAAAAAAAAAAACAAATGAGTGCAGAATAAACCATTCTAATCACGAAACGGTATAAAACAATAAACGATTTTCTCACGTTGAATAAACTTAATTACGATTATGATTAACTTTGAAACGTGTGGTTGTATATAGAAATCTCGTGGAAGATCTTTTTCACGTTTACCTGTACCACATACGTCCTAGTGCAGTCTAGGAATGTTCACCGGTCTTGAACAGACTCAACTTAACTCAATTTTACGTGGAAAAATTGATTTAAAAGAAACCTTTTTTTTTTTTGTTAATCCCCGCAATCAATTTGTCTCACTCTAGCAGTTTATTGTTTCTGCCACATCACTTTTTTCAAATCTATTTTTTATTTTAATCTTATTTGTGCGAATGGCCATAATATTTGATACTTTTTGTTTTGTTTTATATTATACTTTTATTGTTTAAATTATGTTATGTCTGTAATCTTTATTATTTAATATTTATAGTAGATCTGATTTGTCTTAACAAATAATAGTTATATTTTTATTCAGATATGTATTTTAATGTATTCTTAACTGTTTTCTGTTAGTTCGTACAATCACTGATTAAATTAGTCCTATTTTTTCAATAAAACACAAACAAAATTCAATTTTTAGAATTTAAGCACAATAAAATTGTACTCAAATATAACTTCAACCAAATTGTGTAAATCAATATTTACAATTTGTTTGATGTCTCTATTACAAAAAAATAATAAAATTAGTTTACCTATTAAAATAAATAAATGGAGGTATTTTAATTCATTATGCATTTTGTTTAAACAAGTTTAAAAAAAAAAATAATTGACTTAAAGCTATTAAGGAAATAAGTCATAAACAGATAAAAAAATAAAAGCGGAAATGGTATTACTGTTCTAAAATTAAATTAAAAAAAAAAAAAAGAGTGAACATAGTATTTAGTCCATAATCAATCCAAAAATAAGTAAATTAATAACGATTTTTCACTGTCAGATTAATGCTAAGTTGGATGTATTTATATATTTAATAAGATAACTTAACTGGGTGCATATAATATATCATTGTCTATCTATAAACAGAGTCATTCAAATTTAAGTCGAAAAAATGGTGAGGATTACAGTAAGTTCTCATGTAATCTCCACCATTTTAGCATTGTATGATTTGAACCATTCATATGCCTTTCTAAGCATATAATAATAATAAATAATGTATTAGTGTAAATATTTAATTATACGTTTGGAACACTGAAACACTACTATAAAGCAATTGATTCCGTGCAATGCTAATGCACTCATCACCAATAATTTAATCCACATAATATATTTATTATTATTACAATTTCGCATATTCATATTTCTTGACTAAATGGAATAAAAGTACAGGTATATATTATTATATAATATATATATACAGGATGATTCACCGATTATCCACCCATTTTTTTCTTTAACAATTAATATTTTCGTACTACTTAAGGATAGTATCCTGTGGTGATACAAACGTCTGCTTTTCAAATGAGAACCCCCATGTTACTGTTAATTATTTAGTAGATAATTTTTTTTTTTAATGTTGATTTACCTAATTCAAAATTCAAACGACTAACTTCTTAGCTATTAAAATGTTTGTTTTTTTTATTATGTTTAAGGCTTCGACGACTGTGGTCATTATTCTGTAAGGTTGGTAGATTGGTACAGTAGGGTTGGGACAGTTGGTATGGTCGGTTAGGAACACGTGTATGTGTAGCAAGGTTTTTGCGCACTACGAACACGGGTGGTCACCCATCCGAGAACTAGTGGCAGCGGCCATTGCTTACTCTCAATCACGTAGCTTTATTAATTTCAGCCACTGAACCTCGCCGAGCCACTAAAATGTTTGTATTAACTATAATAGTCCTTAAACATGGTTTTACATAAATATAAAATTGAGGTAAAACTTGATCTAGTATTTACTATACTTGGTCCATTTTTACAAATTATTAATATTGATAGGTTAAATTTTAAATCACCATTATAGCCCCCACACCTAATAAACCCCATTACCATGGACTTTTATCCTTAGAACACAAAGTTAAAAAAACTTCGTACCTACGAATTTTAATTCTGATACTTAACAAATTTCAGATAAATTATCCACTGTATAATTGACAGTTGAAAAGGAGTGTCCTTATTTGAAAAACAGAAGTCTGTATCTCCATAAAACACTTCTCAAGTAGTAGAAACAATTTCAAGAATTAAAAAATATGGTCTTAAAGTATATTTAAAAATGTCAAAAAACAGATTTTTAATAACTGAATTAATGAAGCAAAAAAGGGGGGTTACAAACTTAAAATTTTAATTTAGGATACTTTTAATAGAAAAAAAAATTCACCTGCATCGTAATAAATAATAATATATCAATAATTAGAAATTTGTAGTAAGTACTCTGTTGTGATCTGTGAACATAGGTATATAATATATTATTGTTGTCAATAGTTAAGAATGAATATAATTTAAATTATAATAGATACTAATATTTTTTTTTTTTTCACAAAGTCAGCACTTATTTATCGTTGAATGAATGTTGTTAGTTCCTATTTGTCTATATGGACAGTTATCGTCCAACGTTAGGGTACGTTTCACTTATTAGTGTATTACTTAGGTCTTAGGTATTATTTAAATTTAATACAAAAGAATTATCGTTTCGGTATATTATTAATTTCTATCCTGCCTTCAAATACAGAATAAAAAGTTTACATAAGTATGATATATATTCTGATCAGTGACCATCCTAAATCTACCAATAAGTACAATGTCATTACTGAATACGGTTTAAAGTTAATTTACGGGTACAAAAATGTTTTGTTTAATATAACTCATGTTGGTATTACATATTATTTCCGTAAATTTATATCATGGATGCGTAGACATAACGTTGTGTCAATACTAACGAAGGAAGTACCTATTTTTTATTGTATACATACCACTTACTTGGCTAAGTTACATTCAGACATATACTACAGGTACCTATACTGTAAATGTATATAATAATAATAATTTAAGCTAGTATAGGTAACATATTTTTGTTCAGTTCGCAAATAATAGAACAACGATTACAAAAAAAAGATTTGATCAAAATGTTTGCTTCGATTAGGTCACAGACATTTCACAGTCGTATAATAATATAATATAATATATTTCGATCGGATAATGTATTTTGAGTATTCCAGCTAATAGCGAAACCATCTACTGTAATCGGAGTATGTGTGAAACTGATATGCAGACATATTACCATGGTTTGCATACAAATTGCAAAATTAGTTAAATTAACTCAAAAATTCAATTTGTTGTCATAACAATACGATACATTTATTGAAAAGTGAAAATGTATCTAACAGATGTTGTAAAATATTATTGACATAATAAACAATTTACATAACATATTATTAGCTGAATATAAAATATATGTTATTATAGTTACCTACTATGTTTTAAATTAATATTGTAATGTTTATAATATTATGTAATGAAACAATATACAATTGTAAAAATTAAATAAACCACCTACTAAAGTTTTTTTTAAAGTTTAATAATATATTCATCATTCAGTAATTAAATAAAAATTGAAATCGTTTTACTTGAATCAAGTTTTTATCAACATGCATTCATAAATGTACAATACATATTTTATATATTTGTATTTTATACCTAAAGCATAAATAACATTTTGTCTTTGAAGCATATTTAGTCAGTGTTTATTTATTTTTCTTTGTAATAGTATACAATGCAAAGTGTTAAGACAACAGGCATCCAGTCTTCTTTATTTCACTCTCACACTGTAGAATATAATTATTATTTACTTATCATTACATGAAAAGTTGGACATCAAGACTTTCAAGAACTTTTATACGTTCAAACATTGTAAATAAAACAGCTCCGTTGTCAGTGTATAATATTTTTATAATTTTTTAATGAATCATTAAAAACAAAAATACATTTAAATTGGAAAATGTATGAATATATACCTACCTATATTATGCCCTACAGGAGGAAGCATGCTTGGTGAATCAACTTGTATATAATTATATTATTGTACCTGGCTAACTCTATAATAATTTGTACACATGTTTAATATTATATTGGAATACTCTTTAAGATAAATTATCACTTATCAAACTTTGGCACTTAAAATTAATTAAAAGGATTCTATAAATCAAAGGTGGGGGTATTAACTTGTTAAGAAGTTAAAGTTAAGTTAAAACTTAATTTGTTTTTAACTTGTTAACTTATTCATTTAAAATTTTTATCTTTATAACTTAACTTTTTATAGTTAATTATCATTGTTGTGCAGTTAGGTTAATTTTTGTTTACGAGTCATGCTTAATCAACTAGGATTGCCTAGTTGATTAAGCAATAAGCATGACTCGTCTGACTGATCATCATGACTGATTCGTCGACTTTTTTACGATTTTGGTATTTTATTTTCGAATTATATATTATAAACAAATTGTTTACACAGTGTTAAATGTTTTGGTAAATGTTTGTGTATAACAAAATACTATGGTAGTATATGACTTAAAAATATTGTACCTTCAAAAAAATTAACTTTTTTTTAACTGAGATAAGTAATTTTATTTTCTATCTTAACTTTAAACTTATCTAATTAAATTTTTTTTTCTTTGTTAACTTTTAACTTAACTGAAGGCAATTTAATTGTATAAGTTAACTTGCCACACTTAATTATTTTCATTAACTTGCCCACCTTGGCTATAAATCATCTAAAATAGTATTTCATATCCAATACCATCCGACATCCGTTTTATTATCACTCCAATTTAATTCCACCACATCAATAGTTATATGCGTACATCAAAATACATTTTAACCGATTAAAATTTTCTCTACTTACTAAATTGTTCTACTTACAGTTGGTGGTCGAAATCAATAGCCAAGTGGCTCAGTTTCGGGAACTACTGGTGCACATCGGTACGGCTAGAGATTCTCCGGAAACAAGGGAAAAGATCCGAAAGTTGAGAAGAGGATGCGTGGATACATGCAAACACACAAGTCAATTACTCATACCTCAGATGAGAGGGTAAGCGTAGTGAATTTTCTTGTATTCTTACATTTTTAAGAAATTAAATCTTCAGAAAGCTTCGATCAAATAAAAAATAATAATCAGTGGTATTAGTTTAGATTTCGAGAAACGTTTCAGAGTATGAAAACAAATGACCAAATATTATGTTCTCATAATATAAAATAATGATATTATGAACACCAAGAAAAATCAAAGTTATTAAATAATCCATCTACCTCTGTCCTATATCATAACTATTTTCTGATTTGTCAATTGTACCAAAAAATAAACGTAGATAATATTTTATTTTTCATACTATTACAATACTAGGGTTTGCGTTTGACTTATAGGTGCAGACGTGCAGTGTAACAAAACTATGTATCCATCCCGTATTTACAAACTTTAACTATAATGCAAAGTAATGCATTTTATTGTTGTATATCTGAAAATTGTTTATAAGTAAACAATGTACCCCATTAAATTGATGATATTTACAACCAAATTTTAATTTAATCAAAATTATAGTTCATATTTTCTTTTAGACAGATTTGATAATTGTGATATACAATATAATATTGTTCATTAATTGAATTAGTTTTGGATATATTTGTATATTCTTGCATACAGGTAAATATTAAATACGAACAAATTATAATTTTTATAAGTCATTGTGATAAATGTCGAATGTCCCAGTGTTGCAAAGCAATTATCTATGAAGTAGGTGAATTTGCTGAATTCAGTATCGTCATATTATTACCTATTATATTATACATTTATACCACATGGGAAGGAAGGAGTACTGTATACATTTTATATTTTCCAACAACAAACGCTGCATTGAAATATTATTACATAATTATTATTGCTTCAAGAGTACAACACAATATTTGATGAAATACATTCGTGTGAACATGAAATCACATGATAACAATAATGTTAAACATCGTGATAAAATCGAGAAATATTGTCCATCTCAAATTTAAAAAATTCGCTCTGCTGTACAATAGGTTACAAGTGGGTCACTGTAATAAATGGTGTTAAATTTGAATTCAATGATATAATATTGTAACAATATATCAGAAGCTTTGCATTAAATTTTCACGCTTTCTTTCCAAACAAATAAAATTTTATTGATATTTATAGAAAAAAAAACTAAAAAAATTGAAAACTGAAAATTTCCGTAAACAGCTCACAAAGAGTCAAAATATTTTCAAAATTGTATGGTGTATAGGAAATGCTAATTATGTATTTATTTATTTAATTTAAACGGGATGAACCCAATAACAATTTAATAGTTATTACATAAGTAAACTTAAATCTATTTGGTAGACTGTAATGACAGTAATATAATCACAAAAACAAATAAGAGAATTATAAAATAATAATAACAATAATAATATCTAGGATAATAATAATAAAAATATCTAGGATAATAATTCAAATAATAATATCTTGATAAAATAATAATAATAATAAAAAAATATTAAATATTAAAAATATAAAATAATAAATTATATAAATTATAAAATATTATACATATAATTATACTACTATGTATAATGGGTAATATAATCACAAAAACCATCAAAAGCATGAAAATTAAATAAACCAACTTGGACATCATTAACTAATTTCATTAATCTATTTAAAGGCGAGACAAGTGCATAATTTGTCGTTGAAATTGAATGTAAAACGTTTTTTTGGATCTAGTTCGACATTGATAAACATTAAAATTTAAGCTACTGAGTAACTCAGGACAGTTTATAAGACCGTTTACTATATTATATAGAAACTTCAAATCAATAATATTTCTCCTTACAGCTAGACTGGTAATATTTAATTTGATTAATAATGGTGTGTACTCTGAGTGAAGTGAACGAGGGATATCACATTTATAAGAAATAAATCGAAGGATACGATTTTGAATAGCTTACAGACTTTGTATATGAACTGCACTAGAGGGTGACCAAATAACTGAGTTGTATTCTAAAGAAGAACGTACTAAAGAAGAATGTAGAGTTTTCAACGCATCAGAATATAAACATTCAGTGAAAATTTCAAGTACCTATCTACAGTCATTCGTTTTTTAATTACAACAAAATAAGAAAATCGTTACCTACATGAGAAATCAAGTGAATATCAAATATTGTGAAAATATGAATTTCAAACGCTCATAAAAATTTATTTTGAGTTTCTTGTAGACATTTTTTTTTTTTTTGATAGAGGTAGGAAAACTTATGAGGAATCTTGTATTACATTTTCAAATCTTAGATTTAAAAATAAACTTTTTTACGAATTTCCAACTCAAAATAATTTGCAAATTTTCGTCATTTTTACGTATTTTGTCAAAATTCGAACTTTAAAAACTAATAAAAAAAATTAAGACTATGGATTTTTAATTTTTTTCATCTGCCTTTGAAACAATATACTATTAACTTTCTATACAATTTTCAAGCTTTTTTAACGAACAAATAAAGTTTTATTGATATTTTATAGAAAAAAAACCTAAAAAAATGGAAATTGAAAATGTCCGCAAACAGCTCAAAATAAGTGAAAATATTTGAAAAATGTTATGGTGTATAGAAAATGCTAATATAAACATTCAGTCAAAATGTCATATACCTAAGGACATTTGTTTAAGAGTTGCACCAAAAACCAAAATCGATTTTTTCGAAAACAGATTTTGCGTACAAATTCCCGTTTTCCATTAATTTTTCTTTTGTTTTTCACGGCACTTTTGAAAACTACTGAAACTACTTACTTTTGACCCCCCTCCCCTCCCCCAAAGTACCAACCAGATTCACTTTCCTATCAGAAAAGATACTGTTGAAGAAAATCTAAGCATTTTTACTGTCCTAAAAGGTGATGACAGGCACAAAAAAAAATAAAAAATAAAAAAAAACACACATCATTGTAAAATCAATACATTCATCGTTTCACTCAGAATCTAAAATTCAAAACTTGATAAATATTTTATAGTTTTATATTTTTTATTTTTTTATAATAATATTAAGTAGATTTATCCAATTTTAGATTCTGAGCAGAGCAATGAATTTATTGATTTTACAATGATGTTTGTTTTTTTGTATTACCATTTAGGGCAGTAAAATTGCTTCAATTTTCTTCTACAGTATATTGTTTGATGGGAAAGTGAGTCTTGTTGCTGAATTCAGGAGGTCAACATTTAAAATTCCCAATAATTTTCAAAATCACCGGAAAAACAACATAAAAATTAAGGAAAAACGGGAATTCTTAGTCAAACTCTAAAACAAAATTATAATTTAGTAGTAATACAAGATTCATCATAAGTTGTCTACCTTCATCAAAAAATGTCTACAAGAAAATCAAATTAAATTTTTATAAGCGTTTGTAGTTCATATTTTTACAACATTGCATATTCACTCGATTTCTCATGTAGCGATTTTCTTACTTTGTTTTATTTCGAAAAAGAATAACTGTAGATACTTGAAATTTATACCATATATTAATTTTATCAATTCTTATAGTTGATAACATTTTTTAAATACTTTGACTTATTTTGAGCTATTTACGGATATTTTCAACTGTCCAATTTTTTAGTTTTTTTTTCTACAAAATATGTCAATAAAGTTTTATCTGTTGGGTCAAAAAGCGTGAAAATGTAATACAAGGCTCCTGATATACCTATTGTTACAATAGCAGTTGAAAATATTAAAAATACATTGACACAAATTTTTTTCATAAAGAATTTTACGTTTGAATTTTGGCAAAATTTATGAAATCTAAAATGTAAAAATGATTTTGTAGCTAAAACTTATATAATGTTCAACTTTTATAGCTAAGGATTGAAAATTGAAAACAAAGTTCCTCTTAAATAGGTAAATAAATTACTTTATTCACAATAATATCAATATACTTACTAATATAATATCCTAGACTGACTGACTGTCTTCGCTCAGAAATGTTTTTCGTATACATTGATATTATATCCAGTGGCGTCCGCAGGGGAGGGGGGGGCTAAAGGGCTAAAGCCCCCTCCATTACCCGTATTATTATTACTTTTTCAAAAATAATATTAATCAAGTTAAACTGTCAACTATAATAGGCAAGACGTAAATTTCAAATATGACTTACCAGAATGAATTCATTTTTGAAAAAAAACATTGTATTTGTAACATACCAATTTTCATAAATTGTCTGTAATTTTTCGGTAAAAGTATGAACTATTTGTATGAAAGATCTTGTATTAAATTGTCTAGCCTTAGCTATACACATTTGATATTTTAAAGGTTTTGAACTACAAATTAACTGTGGTTTTGACGAAATTTGAACTTTAAATGCTTATAAAAAATAAGCATGATGCCTATGTATCGTTAATATTTTAGCTATAATAAAAAAACTTACGTATTACATTTTTAAGGTTTTTGACCGGATAAATAATTTTTTATTGACATTTATAGAAAAAAAAAATTTAATTATTCAAATACAATCCAAGTGAAGACGGTATAACCAAACATTTAAATAAATTTTCATTTTTTTTTCTCAAATTATTTTTAAAAGCACTGAGCATTTTCAATTTCAACCTCCTAATAGTACCAACTAGATCCAATTTGCTTCCAAAAACATACACTGAGCTTCGGATCTTATGATCAGAGCATTTTTTCTACCAGAAAAGTTGAAAAGTTACAAACATTTTAAAATACCTCAAATAAACGTCTGAAATTATTAGACTGGACAAAATGAAAAGAAAATTGTAACTAATTTTCAAGCCCCCGCCCCCATTGAAAAATCCTGCGGCGCCACTGATTATATCATTGAATTCAAATTTAACACTATCCATTACAGTGACCAACATGTAAAACTACTAACCAAATATAAGTTAAAAAAAAAAAATTACTATACCTACTTAATAATATGATTATGTATAAGTTTCACTTCAGAAATGTTTTATTAATCATTATGCTTAAAGATCAAAAAAAAAAAATAATATATTAATATTTGAATATTATATTCTAGATATACTTATAGTGCATGGAAAT